GGAGGGGATGAAGGGCGGGCAGGGGAAGGGGGAAAAACAAGATATGTCATGTAAAGGTACAAGATCCCAATGATGAATGTAACTGTATTTTAATGTACCAATAAACTTAATGGAAAAAAAATCACAACTCTGGACAGCCAGACATCATGCAGCATGCCAGTAATCCCAGCACTCCAGAGCCTGAGGCAGGAAGATCCCCCAAGAGATCATGGCGAGCCTGAGCTACATAGTGAGAACTTGTCTCAAAAAAACAAAAAACAAGGGCCAGGGATTTAGCTCAGTGGTTCCACCTCCTGCCTCGAAAGTGCAAGGTCCCGAGTTCGATCCCCAGTACCAAAAACAAACAAACAAAAAAAGCTGCTGACTCTGGAAAGCATATATTTACAATATTTACTGAAAATAGCTAATATACATAAAAAAGAAAAATTACAATATCTTACGCCAATCTATATGCTTGATTCTTTTTAATATCTCTATAATCACTGACCTCGCTCATGAGTTTGGCAACACTGAACAGGAACCCAAATTATGAAAAGACATGTATAAGGTCTGGTGATTTAGCTCAGTGGCACTGTGCCTACCTCGCAAGTGCAAGGTTCTGAGTTCAATCCCCCGTGCCAAGAAAAAAAAAAGACATGTATAAATGTCTTCAAAGCCAATTCCCATTTTTAAGTGTATTTTTTATTTCCAAAGTTTATAATAACCATAACTATTTTCTATACTTTACTTACTTGTTTTAGATCAAATGAAATGAATTAAATAAATCAAATGAATTTAAATGAAACGAAATTTTCATTAATTTGAGATAATGCAGGCCAAAGACTCTGGTGTAATCATTCTTTCATTGGATAAGAGAATTGCTTAGAAACATTTTTTTAAAACTTCATAGATTTATGTTTTAAAAGTGACATGTGGCCGGGGATTTAGCTCAGTGGTTCCAGTGCCTGCTTCACAAGCGCAAGGTCCCGAGTTCAATCCCCAGTACCAAAAAAAAAAAAAAAAAGTGATATGTGTCCTCCAAAGCTTAAATGAATATCAAATTTCTAATAACTATCTAAATCCCTTAATAAATTCCATTTGATAGAAGATTTATGTAGTAATGTTTCTTATAGATATGGTTATATTATGTAAAAACTAGGAAGTACCTGGATTATTGAGAGTGATTCCGGTTGTATACTGAAAATTGTTCACTTTCAGAAACTGCTGCAGCACTGTAAGGTAGCCAGTGACATTGCTAATGTGATGGTTGTCCGGAAGTTTAATTAAAGCTTTTGAAAACTGGACACTTGGTTGAGATTTGGCATCTGCAGAAGGGAAACCTCATTAACAAATACAAAAAACCAATGTATATTAAGCATTGCACCATTGGAGAGGACATTTTAACAAAAGCGGATGTAATTATTTCTAAAAGACCCTAACATCTTTAATAATTATTACTTTAAATCCAGAACTGGCTAAGAAATTTCCCTTTCTTTAGACCACACAAAGCACCTTTGCAGTAAAGACTGCTTGAGTCTGCTGCCCAGAATCTCTGCAGGCTTTTTTGGGTTTCACTTTAGGGACCTCTTACTGGCCACTTGTAAGCCATGTGGGTCGCTTGAGTTTTCATCTCTGTAACAGGGACTGCACCTTGGTGGTGGAGGCCAGGACAGCCTGAAGCCAACAAAACCATCTCATTCTCCTCTTGGCCCAGTTTGCCCCACAATGGGCTCCTCTCCAGTCACTTAATGAGAATGATGTGAGTTTTGCATGGACTTGAAGAGAAGGCTTGTTCCCACCCCCCATGGGATTTTCCGTGAGCAGGCATATGTCTGTGATAACCCTTCTGTGACCAAATTGAGACCCTGTTTGAAAATCGAGCCAATATTCAAAGAGTGGAAAAATTTAAAAATGGAGAGAGAGAAAAACTAGTTTTCCACTACTGCAAAGTGTAAAGCTGATCCTACCACTTTAAAAAAAAAAATCTCTGGGCCAGGGATTTAGCTCAGAGGTTCAAGCTCCTGCCACACAACCACAAGGCCCCGAGTTTGATCCCTGGTACCAAAAAAAAAAAAAATCTCCTTTTGGCTCCAGCTGTTTATCACCATATTTTCAGCAACTTGCAAGAGGTGTCTGATTACAGACAGCCACATAACACAGTAGATATGCATTCAAAGTTTTCCAAATGTTAAGTATTCGATTTATAAATATTATCTAATTTCAGTAATTTTTGATTGATTATATAGCATTTATCAAATGAGAACTCAGTGACGATATGGATATATCTGTAACCAGTAGATTTTATGTAACAACTCATTTTTAAATCATTAAAATTAAAATTATCAGAAACATCAGCTTTTGCTTTGGCTCTTACTAATATCACTCATAAAGGCAGAAGAAATCATTTAAATTATTAGGATAAACAGAGTATCAATTTTTTTGAGGGGGGGGGCGTACTGGAGATCGAACTCAGGACCTTGTGTTTGCCAGGCAAGCACAGTGCCACTGAGCTAAATCCCAGGCCCTAGAGTATCAATTTTTACAGTTTCTTTATACTAAATGATAGAATAATGTAAGATATCAACTTCTAGTTTATTATGTGTTAATCCAGAAAAATAATACCTGAAAAACAAACAGCTCTTTAAGAGCACAACTATAATATACATTCTTGTTTGGTTAAGTTATCAGAAGGTACAGTTCGATACCTTAGATCACTTTAAGTACTATGTACAACTTACACTTCTAAAGTATGTGAATTAATTATATACAAAGTTCTGAAAACATGCACTCTATACAAAATATCTAGTTAGGGCTGGAGATTTAGCTCAGTGGTTTCGCCGCCTGCTGAGCAAGTGCAAGGACCTAAGTTCGATCCTCAGTACCGAAATAAATAAATAAAGATAAAAACAACTTCTATAAACAGGTGTTTCTCCATGACTGTAAAAGATGGTTAGCCTTGATCACCAACTTGGTTGGCCTGAGATGAGGGAAGCACACCTCTGGATTCATCTAGGTGGGTCAGTGGGCAGTGACTTTAGGGTCTAACCTGATCTCTGGCCACTTTCTCACTCTCTGGCTCTCCCTGCTCTCTGCTTCCTTGCTGTCACAGGTTGAGTAGCTTTCCTATGTCATGTGCCTCCACCATGATGTTTCCCCCTTGGAGCCAGTCAACCATGGACTGAAATCTCTGAAACCATGAGCCAAACTACACATGCCTCCTTTAAGGTGTGTATGTTAGATATTTTGTTCCCACAAAAGGAAAATGTCATATGATGACTCTCTCATTGGACTCTACCTTGAGAGTTTTCTACCCTTACCAGTCATTTCACCCATACAGAATAAACAAACAAGAAAATTGTTGTCTATGGTAAAGGCATTGTATAATATGTAGCAAAGAGTCACAGAATGCCTGAGTTTCTCCTAAGCACTAATTAAGGGGTGCAGGCAGGCAACATAAGGATCAAATTCTCATCTTAAAGGTTCGTCTGATTTAGAGGACATAGCTGGAATCTGCACCTAAAGTAGAGTTTTACATCTTTCTCTTCGGATACGCAAGTAGGGAAAAATCAAGTCTACCTAGCACATACAAAAATTAGCCAGTCTCAGGCCTTTCCCACACAAGCCGAAAGATCACCAAGGAGGTAGGAATGGAAAGAACCTGCAACTAGAAAGCCTTGCAAGTCTGGGTGACATGATTTCTGTCCCTTCTCCTATTTCACTGACCACTAAAGCCCCAGTGAGGGATGTAATTTAGGAAGAAGGACATACAGAAGCTCTTTCCAATATTTCCTAAACTTGAACATTCTCAATTGGGAAGCCAAAGTGGTAAAAGAGAAAATGATTCCCACTACATGAGAAACACATATTATAGTTTTATAATACGATTAGTTTTGATTGAGGTCAACTTAAAGTCAATGCTAATTATCGCTGATCACTTTAGATTTTTTTCAAGTTATATGCATTACTGATTTACTTAAACAATGATGACTTTCTTTCCTCACTAGGAAAGAAACAATGTACTTACCAGCTAATTTTCCAGTAATCAAAACAGTGTCTTCAAATAGCCATATATTTGCTTGGCTTTGCGGGAACAGTGAAAGTGTAACTGATGAATATACTGTGAAACATAGCGCAATTAAAATAGTTAATGTAGGGGAAAGGCAGGGATAAGTTCTGATATAGCAAATCCTAAAAATTGAAAAGAAAAAAAAAAGCAAATTGCTTATTGGAAAGAACAACTGAAAACAAAGGAAGAATGAATGTGAAATATGATGGAGGAAAAAAGAACACAATAAAGTCAGAAGAAACTGCTGGGCATCATTATTTTAATTTACTCATATCTTCTATTCCAAAGAGTAATTTTTATCAAGCTGACTAATGATGTTCTACAAGTGGACCCTGATATAAATGATCGAGCTAAGTGCTTAAATAATTTCCTGCTATTTTCTCTATATAATTATTACTTGTTATTTAGTTCTTGGAAACTTTACAAAAAGTTTTTCTTGGCTCTGTGAGTCAAGGTTCTCTGCCCACATAAGATGAGATGCTCTTCTGCATGCGATATCTGCAGACCACCTCAGAGCAGGCAGAGGAGATTGCAGCATGCAGCAGTGCCCCGCAAGCAACCTGCAGCAGCAGTGCAGTGTGGGCTGAACCTGTCTGCAAAGGCGGGCATGTGGAATAGCCACGAGGAGTAGGTGGGTGCAGATCACCTGGAATATGGCTACACTGTTTCAAATTCTGGGTTAAGAAGTTGGCACAAAAGACAATTTTGGGGCTGGGGATTTAGCTCAGTGGTTCCACTGCTTGCTTCGCAAGCACAAGGTCCCAAGTTTGATCCCCGGTACCAAAAAAAGACAATTTTATGAGCAAGAACAAACCAAATTAACCAATCATACAAAAGGAGGGTAAGTTTTGAGGAGTTACCAAAACACAAACTCTCATTTTGTATCCCTCTGCGACATATGAGTACACAAAATGAACAGAAATAACACAGTCTCCTCAAACCTCTTAGAGGATTAAACACATTTGCCCAGCAATGCTTTTAATACTTTGATGCTTAAAGATCTTTAAAGGAAGTATGAGAAAAGGGGAGCATGGAACAAGTATACGGTGACGGATGGACATGAAAGGGACTGTCCTTTGTTCCTTCCACAGGAAATGAGAATCACCAAAGGAAAGTGTCATTCCAATCTCAGGATACATCAACACTTCGGCTGGTTAATGGATTTATTACACTGGAGAGGGGTGGTGAGGTAGGAATTTGGACCTCACAGTGATTCCAAGCAGGGAACGGTCCTACATTTGAACGCTTTTCAGTCACAGGTTGCTGAAAGGAAAGGGCCTTGACAGCTGCTTACAGCTGTGAAACCTGAGGGGAATCTTTGTGAACATGACTACATCCTACAGTTCAGATCGTTTTTCATGTAAACACTTTTTTCTTACTAAAAAGGGGTAAATATCTATGGTGAACAAGAAGAGGACATAGCAAGGAATAAGAACAAAATGATGGTCATTTCAAAATTTCCTCAGAGGAAGTAATTAATAATATTTTAGTTGGCTTTTCCTATGAGTTCTTTTCCAATCAGGAGAATGATATTGTATGCAGAATAATTTTACCCTGCCGCTTTCATTTAATAACGTCAGTTTCCCTGTCTCTCTATGGCCCTTTCCTGGAACATGTGTAAGGGCATACAGTTCTTTTGCTGCAGTATGCAACTCACTCCCTCACCACATTGACCCTGCAGGCTTAGGTTATTCCCACTTTGCTATTTTTACCAAAATAACGGAACCAACAAAGTGGTGCACAAATATCTGTCCCCTCTGTTTCTTTGTATGTTTTTAAGAGAATACAGTGGTGTACTACTGAGTTAAAGTTGATGAAGATTTTGAAGTTTCTAACACGTACTTTAAAAGTTGCAAATTTTACAACCTCTGAGCCAATGAGCACCACCCCGACTAATGAATGAGAATGTTGACCCATCTTGCTTTGTCAATACTGAGAATAATCACTTTTTATGAACTTGCGTAAGGAGAAAAATCTAAGAAGTGTTATTTCTTCAGTGTACAGAGCTCAGACTATTAGGAAGATGAAGTATGTTGTCGTGCTTACTCATCATTTATATTTCATTTCTTTGACAATTGCCTATTTACCTTATTCAAGTATGATTTTTAATATGTATGAATTCTTTGCATATCAAAGACATCATCCTTTATTGTTTCAAATATATTTCCAACCTCGGTTGCTATTTTTGTAGCTATATCTGCCTAATATTTTAGTTGTGTGGAATGACAAACTACCTCTAATGAATCTTTTCATTTAAAAAAAAAATGACCAGGTATCTTTACACATTTATTCCTGAAGGATTGAAGTTTTGCCAAAATTTTTTTTCTTTTTAAATGAATTAAGTATATAAACCAATGAGGCAAAAATTGAAATCTTAACAATAGTCAGGCTTCCATAGAAGAAATATGTTTGTCCAGTTATTCAGGATTTTAGTTTACTTCGGTGTTTTCTAGATATATTAGTCATATTTGGTAATTTGTTTCTCCACACATAGAGTTGTTTTACCTTTTTTTCTGTATATGTTGTTTGTTCTCATTGTTCTGAGAGGGACTTGTCATCATTTTTCCTAATTACTTACTACTGTCAGTATATAACAGCATGTACTGATATTTGTATCGATGCCAATTTTGTAATCAGTATCTGTTGAAAGTCTATGAATTGTAAGAGTTGTAAGGCTGATGCTCTGGAGCTGAGATTGAGGCTTAGCGTGGTGAGGACCTCAGTCCTGTGCCCAGAACTTAGAAAGGGAATTGATGATCTATAGTTTTCCAGGATAAAATCACTTCAGGAAACATTTGCTTGATCCTCTTTTCCTCCCTTTTTTCTATTAATACCTTTCCTATTCCAAGAACTGCTGTGATGTGAAATAATAATGAACATCTGAGCTTACTCTCTTATTTTAGGAGAATTGCCTCTAACATTTTATTTAAGTATGAGAAGGAGGTCCTTATATGTTAGGGATGTCTTGATTATCATGGTTTTTTAAAGATTTGTTAAAATTAGGCATAGATACAGACAACTACTGATATAAGATGGTAGCTATGTTTTGTTTTATTAGTTTTCCATATAAAGTTAATAGAGTTTCATTTGACACTCTCATAGTCCTGCAATGTATAAAAATCCTACCTGGTCTTGACTGGATGTTATATTTGAATAATGGCAAACTTCTTTTCACCCTTCTGTTTTAGAATCGTTGCATTTAGTTACAGGTAAGATTAATCTGTAGAAATGTGTGTGTGTGCGTGCGTGTGTGTGTGTTTTGTTGTGTGTGTGAAAGAGCAAATACAGGGCCATCTAAAGTTTGTATTACCTTTGTTAGGTCTTGAGATAAGGGTATATTATTTTCATAAAAGCTCTGGAATACTTTTTAAAATAATCTTTACATTGGGTTTTTTGTACCTGGAATATAAGGATTATTGGTTTTTATACCTAGAATACAATGATGATTAAACATCATCCGAAATCAAAGTAGTTATTTACAGATCAGAAAATTATTCAATTGGGCTGGGGATTTAGCTCAGTGGTTCCGCCACCTGCCTCACAAGCACAAGGTCCCAAGTTCGATCCCCGGTACCAAAAAAAGAAAAAAAAGAAAAATTCAATTGTACGATGCTTTTATAAATTCTTAAAACGCTTGTATGTATTCCTTTTCATTTCTTGCCTTCTCTTATTTCCTTGGGGCTTATTATCTGGATTAGCCGGAGGTATCCATGATGCTATTTTCCAATATTCTGTCAACTATTTCATCTTTATATTTTCCAATCTATGCCAATCCACTTTAATCTTTATTATTTCCTTTTCTCATTTTATCTGGCTTCCTTAATTATTTTTCTATCTTTATTAAATGACTAATTGTGTTTAATTCATTTGTTCTTTGACAAAAAGAGAGAGGACTGACAGCCTAACGTAGCACCCTTCTGATCAGCCTCACTGTAGTCTGGCATCTTCTGTGCCACACCCTTCCCACTGCCCGCTCCTCGGCACCCAGCCCTCCCAGTGCTGCCTTCTCAATGGCTCTTGTGCTAGCCCTGTCCTCCTCGCGGTGGAAAGGAGCGTGTCAGTTGTCCCTGTCCACCATTAGCACTGCCACAGCACACTCTGAGTCTGCTTTCGTCTTGCTGCATCATACACTGTTGAGTAGACCCGGCTTCCACTCAACTCACCTCAATGCACTCAAGAACCTATAGTAACCGCCTTGCTGGTGAGCACCTCCTTAGAAGCCCCTTCATCACCACTCCCGCTTCACCCGGCCCCACCCCTTCTTCCCAATCCTTCAGGCACACCAGTCCCCCATGCCACTGCAGACAAGCTTCGTATGGAGCACAGCTCATGCTCACAATTCCTCTTTAGAAGGAAAAAGTGCCTTTATACTTGCTACGGTCTGCTGTTTGTGACCCTTAAAATTCATGTTGAAATCCCAAGCCCCAAGCTGACAGCATTACGAGATGGGGCCTTTGCATGATAATTAGGTTAAGAGGGCAAAGCTTTCATGAACGGAGTTAGTCCCCTTAAAACAGGCCCCAGGGAGCTCCTTTACCCCTTCCACAACAGGGAACAGAGAGGACGTGTCACCTGTAAGCAGAAAGTACACTGAGCCTGGTGGCACTGTGACCTTGGACCTCCCAACCTCCAGAACTGTGAGAAACAAATCTCTGCTGTGTTTAAGCCACCCAGTGTTTTTTTGGTATTTTATTATAGCAGCCAGAGAGACTGAGAGGACGTTTCCTCCAAGCTGACCCTCCTTCCAACCTCCTTAGGTGGCCTTCTCTCTCACATTCTCATTTCCAGCTGCCAAGAGCAAGATATTCCTAAAACGGGCTGGGGGATCATTTACATTTAGCAAATCCAAAACACTGTCTGGGCACTTACTGGGCATTCTCCTGGTCCTCCACGGCAGTGAGGTCAACACGTAGCCGTCTTTATAAGCAACAATGGTTAAGCCGAGTCCTAACTTGTAGGGTACTTTTATCAACACTGCGCCATTGCTCTTAGTCACCGTGGAATTTGTCTTCGTGTAGTTTACAAATACTTCTACAATTGCCTGACTCAGGTACTGACGACTGATGATGTCATTCACCTGGACTTTCAGTACAAATACAGACACTAGAAGAGAAGGGGGACAGAAATCACAGCACGTTAGAGCCTAGAAAGCATGGCACTATAGGTTAGGACATTGTTCAACACACCTGAATAACAAGAAAAAACTGTTGTTACATTTGGGAAACACCCATTGGTGGATGGATAAAGAAAAGGTAAGAACATTTCAATTTGAATATTTATTATTAAAACAGCACAGAATTATTACTCCATAGTTTTCTGTTAAAAGGGGAGGAGTGGAAAAATTGAAAGATAGGATTTCTTTCTTTGGAAAAGTACATTTATGCACTGTCTCACTAGATCACGGGGGTGAGGACCTCGCTGATGGCTTAATCTGCTGATGGGCTCAGGTGGTAGAAGAAAGTGGGTCACTGGAGCTAGGACCTGGAAGGATACATTCCTTCCTGTCACCAGCCTCTGCCTCTCTCTCTCTCTCTCTCCCTCCCTCCCTCCTTCCCTTGGCTCTCCTCTTCTCTCTGCTTCAGCCCCCACCAGGTGAACAGCTTTCCTCTCTTACGCCCCTTTGCCATAATATCTTCTCCTCAGAGCCAGTCAACCATGGGCTGAAACTTCTCAAACCGTGAGCCACAGTAAACCTTTTCTTCTTTAAATTGTGTATGTCAGGGTTATACAGATTTAATACTAATTCTGAAATAGCACATGTTTTTAGATTAAAATGCCATATAAAAGAACCCATTAATGCACGACTAGCTCCTTTAATTTGTGGTCTGGAAAGCAATGGTTGCTTTTCTGTTCTAGACACACAAAATATCAAACAGAAATCTTTCTCTAAAATATCAAAAATCATTATGTATTGACTATATAAAAAGTATACTAACATCAATTGAAAAAAATGAGACTCAAAGCTGGTTTCTGCCTAAACCTCTGGTCTTACTACTCAATGACAGATCTTGACAATGTGTTCACTAGATTTACTAATGACAATACCTGACTAAAAAAGAGCTCCCACACCATGAACGTGCCTCTGCCAAAGATGTTTTCTCTCCCGTGTAAGTGGGCTCTATAACCCGTCCAGGTCCGACTTTGCCACTCCTTAGACTTGGGACTTCGGGTAAGCTACTCACCTAAGTCCGAAAACTAGAAGACTGAAACTACTTTAAAATAATAAAACCAAATAATGCAAACAATATGCTTGCCTATGAACATGATAATGTGTAATAGAAGCTATTATTGCACAGTTGGAGATCACTGCACAACCTCACGGAACACTGCCAGGAAATGTGTCCTGAGGACTGGTCATGCTGCTCTACATTTGCATAAACAGAACCATTTTTACTTTACATATTTTTTTATTGAGACGAGCACGTCAAAAAGTCCGAGTCAATGTTCATTAAGCCACAATATTACCAACAGAGTGTCATTATGCCTCGACCCCTCTAACTTTGTTAAAATAAACCTTAATTTGCCTTAGGATCAGAGAGACATTTTAAATAAAATGGTACCAATTAGCGACTCAGTCCTAGGAAAGGTACAGTCCAGCAAGCTAAAAAGTAACAGCCTAAAAATAAGGTTAAATGTTATACAAAAGCTATCCTCTATGTAGTCAAACACAAACATATTTCAGTGTATGTCCTCTTATATGATAATTAAGCCTACTAAGAGCTAAACTGTGCTGAAGGTGAATGAGCCAGCGACTGCGTTAATTTTTAAGTGCATAAATTTCTTGACTCATCGGACAACTCTCATTAGAGAGATCATTCTGTTTTCTTTCTGCCACACACACTGTAACTAACGGAGAGGGAGCCACGGCCAGCTCACAGAGGATGGAGGGGACAGGAGGCCAACCAGGGCCAGCCCTTCCTCCCCACTGGGTGCCGCCTCATTATACTCTCAAAAGCAGCCCTCATCCCAGACTGAAGGGTACGGGGGAAGAACTGAGGAAGGAGAAGAGAATTGTATCTGGAAAATCACAGATTAAAAACACTGTTACACAAAACACTGTTGATTTCCAGGACATTATACTGCTGTCACATATACCACGTAACACCTTGGTCATGACAGACCACACGAAGGGCACTGGTCCTACCACTTGGTGACATCAAACCCATCACGCTGCGCACAATGCATGCCTCCCAAGTGTGTCAGAACGCCGGCATAAACAGACCTACTGTGCTGCCAATAGCACAAGGCACAGCACACACAATTACGAACAGTAATATTGCTTGAGAGTGACAATAAACTATGTTTCTGGTTGGTGTGTTTATACGTTATGCTTTTATCGTTACTTTGGAGTGTACTTCTACTTATACAACAATGGCAACTACGAAACAGATGCCACATTACCTGGTAGCAGCACCCTGACTGTACACAGAGACCACGCCTACTGACTGATCTCTACCCTCTAGGTATGTCTAAGTCTGCTCTGTGGGGTTCACACAACTACTGAATCGCCTAATGTTTTCAGAACATAGTCTCACTACGAGTATGTTCCTTAAGAGACACAAGGCCACATCCAAACCAACTATGAGGAAGAGACTCAGAGACAAAATGTAGATAACTGAAGTGTATCCACGCCTATGTTTCCTCAGCATTTCTAAGAGCCTGTGGGAGGTGAAATTATTTGTGAGTATTCATCAGTGTCATTACTTTTATACATAAAGTTAGGAACATCAGGTACTAAGCGATCAGTTAAGCTTAATGCTTCAACTTCAACTGTTCCTCAACTATTGCAATATTTTTTCCATCATATGATAAATTCACCCCATTTGTATCATCTCACTCTAAAATAAATAAAATTGTGTTTCTACTGGTTTAAAACCAAAATATCTTATTGAGCTGGGAATGAATATTGTCCCTAGTGCCAAGCTCTGCATGCATATTATCACAAAAATCTCAGTATACCTTTGCAAAATATATATTATCAAGTCCATTTTACCAATGAAGAAATGAAGAAATTGTCCAACAATATCTTTGCACCTTACAGCAGTGAGTCTTGGGGTCAAACTATTAAAATTAACTCAATATATGATTGCAATCATCATTGGGAGTTTAAATTCTTACCTAACAGAAATTTTAAAAGAAACAATAAAAGCATCTCCTGGCCACACACACATATGCTTAACCATGACCACAAAATTAAGTGGAAAGTATAAATCTTGGGTAAAATAATAAAAGGTTGCAATATATATAACATGATGGCCTAAGCCAAATGTAGTTGAGTGCATCCATCTAGTACTAACAACTATGCTTATAAAGGATAAGCAGCTGCTGCTCAATTCAAAATAATTCCCTCAGCCATTCAGCCCCTCATCAAAATATATTCATTTATTGAGCCATTGGCCTAAAGGGCTCACTAATGCATGGCAGAGATCAATTAGGACATAAAAATGTAAATAAAGATACACTGAAGCCAATAATTGCTAAGCGCTGAATTTCCTAGAAAGTCTATGAGCTCATTCCCATTAGGTTTTCAGAGCTAAAACCTTCAGTCTTGATCTCTCTTCCCGAAAGCGCTGGCTGGTCTGTGAGTATATCATAACCCTTTCTGTGAAGTCTGTTTGCTGTGGCCAGGGTCACTGTTTGTTGTTTGCCCCTAAAGCAATCACCTTAAATGATACAGAGTATAACTGTAGATATAGGATATTTTCTTTCTTTTCTTTTCTTTTCTCTTCTCTTTTCTTTTCTTTCCTTCCTTTCTTTTTCTTTCCTTTCTTTCTTTCTTTTTTTTTTTGTACCAGGGATTGAACTCGGGACCTTGCACTTGCAAAGCAGGCAGTGGCACCACTGAGATAAATCCCACACCCTAGGATATTTTCTTAATAGGCCATTCTATCTTGTATAAGAGAAAATACAAGGCCAGGGATTTAGCTCAGTGCTTCTGCTGCCTGCCTCGCAAGTGCACGGTCCCGAGTTCGATCCCCAGTACCAAAAAAAAAAAACAAAAAAAAGAGAAAATACAGGAAGGAAAAAAAATTTTTTTGGTACCGGGAATAGAAGTCGGGATCTTGAGCTTGTGAGGAAGGCAGCGGAACCACTGAGCTAAATCCCCAGTGAGGAAGGATAATGTTAAATATGAGAGGAGAGAGAGAGGCTGGATATAAGTAAAAGCCGAGGGAATTAGGATTCCCTGTTTAAATTTGGTAATTGGTTTATTGAAACCAAATGCGCCTAAAATGGCTCCTTCGATAACATATTAGAAAATAAGATTCAACAGGGAAGTTTTATTAATTCATTTGCTTTAAACATCAATTTCAGAAATTCTGAGAGCCCTTGCATTTAAAAATTCCAATCTGTGGTAACATCTTAAGTTAAATTCACAAAATAACTGTAGATTCCATCTGTTTCGTCCTTGTAAAAGAACAGACGCCAAAATAAGACACGATAACCTGACAACCTGAAGCTGGGTTTGATTCACAAAATGTTTTTTAAAATATTTCCTAATCCAGAATGTATGGTTTCATTCTTCACATATAATGCTGCAAATCCAATGAGAAAATATATTTATAGGAAAAAAAGCTTTGTGAGGGTCCAATCTTGATCCTCAAAACCACAGCCTTCCTCGCTGATGAGACTCCTACCGGAATCTTCTGTCTCTTTGTAGACTTAAAAAATAAGGACGTAATGAAGCCTGACCAGCAGGCTCCTCTCCAGTTTGACTTAGAAAACAACTAGCCAGCTTTTTTTCTTACAATGGTCTCCTCCCAGGTCCCACTTAGTAAAAGTCGACGTCATAAAACACAAGTTTTAGAAATGCATACGTTTTCATGTGATACACATACCAGGCCCATTGCTGGAAATTTCACCTCACTCAACTCCGTCCTAATGAACTGCGAGACATTTATCTCCCCGTATGAAAACAAGGAACAGTGAGCAAGTTCCTGACCCCACCGCCTACACTCTGCTCGCTCACCATCCCGTTGACCTGTTTGTGAAGGAGGCACTCGTCATATTTACTCCTGTGCTTTTTCTCTCCAGCCAACGCTGAGAGGGAAATGCTCATTTCTTGTCCTTCAGCCTCTTTTTTCCATCCTTGAACTGTTTTTTCTTTCACTCCGCACATACCCCAGCAAAAGTATGAGAATAAAAATTAATAATAATAATAACCTGGCTGAGAGCTTGGTTAAAGCAATTCAAAAGGCAAGAAAAGCTTATTTCCATTCAAATAAAAACATATAAAGAATTACCTGCTCAGAACTTAACCACAATACTTCTGACTTCCGTTGTATGAACTATTTGATCAAGCAAACGGCACCGGCAGCCAGAAGCAATACATAGGCACAACCCCCTTTACCAGTTCTGCCCTCCAACAAAACTCCTTGGCACTTAGACCAGGCAGATTTCGTGATTAAACGGGTAATTTTCACCCAGAGGTGCAATTGTCTCCATAATCTACCTACTCTTCCCCATTGTGTTGTTCAGCTTCCTAGGAACATAACATTTTCTCCGTCGCTTAATTATAATCATTATGTCTTGCCCACATAATCTTCTTTTCAGTATGTCACCATTGGTTGTAAATTGGTTCAATTTCAACTCGTTTCAACTGTGCTCTTAGAAAACATATAGTTTAAATGTTGAGAGAAACAAGTAAAAATAAAATACGTATCAGTGAGCTGGGTCCTGAGGTTGCTGGTTATCTTGTGGCAGGTTATTAAAAGAAGCTTCGTGAAGTAGTCAGAAACGCTACAATTCGAAGAATAAGAGGGATAAAGAAATGTTCTTTCAAAAGGCATTAGAACCAACACTACATTATGGCTTTGTTGTAGATGGGTAGCTCAAAGTCTGGAAGGGTTTTTAAAAATATATTTGGGTGATACAGATCATACGGGATGGGTTGATGAAAAGTACAATCCCACTTCCTAACAAGAGAATCAGACATCATCCCTTTATGTTGTTGCCCCTACATGGGCTACAACTGTGCATATGGAGAAACCCACTCCTTTGCAGATTTCTCTCATACAAAACTAGCCATTATTCACAAGCATCTACAATGACTTCATTCAATATATTACAACCTTGTTTTCTCTACAGGAATATGGTGCGACAATGGAAGCTTCTATAAACAAATCACAGGTCAAAAATTTTTTTAATTAAATATTTTCATGGAATAAATTTAGAAGACTTTATTCTGATAAGAACTAGGAAAAATAAAGAGCACAAAAATATAGAATAAAATTGTTCTGGACAATCAGAAATGGTCACTTGCATAAATTCACTCAACAAATGTTTAATGACTGCCTGCTTTCAGTCAGATCGGCGCTAGATAGGTACTGGGGACAGAAACATTAATAAAACACAGTCTTCCATTGAGAAGGTGTATTCGTAGGGAAACCATGAAAAAAATGTACTGCAGAATTTCTGATAATAAAGATGGTAACAAAGCAATATTGAAACAAAATAACTTTCTATAGTATAAAACAATCTATGAAATTATATAGAATTAAGATGCATAGCAATTCCTATAAGCATCCAAAAATATGGGTCTAATATGTACTTTGGAATCAGTTCACACTGATTTTTTGAACAATGTGTCAGAACATCGAAGTTTTGAGTTCAGATCTCCTAAGGGCCAACCCAGGCATTTTCTCTCCTTTCCCATGCTCTGACTTTCTGATCCATCCTACAGAGACTCCATGGTGAGAGTCCAAAGGAAGCCAAATTTCTGCTTAGGACCCAAGTCAGACTTTACCGGGTACATTCAGAGACTTGGTTTGCTCATTATGCAAAATGTTCAGTCACAGAGAAATCTTTAATTTACAGCTACATATACAAATATCTTCAGGTGATAAAAAAAAAAATCAGGTACTAAATTTAAGTGCCAGTAGAGTAAAGAGAGAACAATCGTGGCTTGATTAAAGGGAATCTCAGTGAATTCCCAAGCCTGAACCTGGCATTCAGAACCCTCTGAAGTCTGGCCACCACCCCGCACCTGATTCTTCACGGACCACGCTCTTCCATCCGGGACCCACACACTGCAGCCTGCAGACCCAGTCTGAGCACTGCCCAACCTTCCGAATGAAAGTTCTCCTGAGACACAACCATGCCCAGCCACGCTCAGCCACTCACATTCCCTGTGGCTGCCATGGCTACAGCAGCAAAGCCTTTTGATGCTTGAGTCCAACGTCACCTAGCCTGAGAATACTGAAGCACTTACTACCTGACACGTTGCAGAAAAGGTGTGCTGAGCCCTGGTCAATGCTGCCACATAAATGGCTCACCGGTCACTACCCAAGGCCAACCCACTTTATTACTGTGTAACTACTCGTTTATTTTGTCCATCAGGAGGCCCTTTTTCAGACACCCATGGTGTTGCATGCACTCTGGGAAGCTGAGGCAGGAGGATCTCAAGTTTGAACCTGGACAATTTAATGTCTTAATGAGACCCTGTCTCAAAATTTTAAAAGTGAAAAAAAAAGGCTGGGGATGTAACTGATTGTGAAGGTTCTGGGTTTAACCCCCAGTAGCACACACAAAAATAGATAAATAAATCAATAAATGTCCTTTTCTCATCTCTACCTGTCAAAATCCTAACCCAGCCTCAGTTTAAGTCGTGGCTCTTTGTCCAGCAGATCTGTCCTCCTCCCGTGAAGAGGGCCCCGTGCCACTGTGCATTTGGCTTTTCTGTGTCTGTCTTCTCTTTCAGCCAGGGTAGACGTCTTGACAGCAGTACCAGTTCCAGCTCAGCCCTGTGCTTTCCCAGAGCGAGGTGAGGGAGGGCTGCCTGACCCCTGGAAAGGGCCGTTAACTTCAGGGTTCTGACCGTGGCCACTGCAGATCACAGCGAGCTTTCTAAGAACCCCCGAATTAGGTGCAAAATCTGTATGTGAAGCCCACAGTTGCTAGTGAAAACTATTTTCCATTACTGCAACAATCACAACAATAAAATACTAAGATCTCTTTTTGGTTTTGGAAATGAACCCTAACTTTTCCTTCTTTTTCATGAGAGTATTTAACCTGGCGATTTTGGCTAAATAGTATATCATGGTAAAGCTTCCTAAATAAGTGCAAGAAAATGGTTCATAACAAAGAGTAAAGGTAAAATTGTATTCTTGACGTCACAAAACAATACCAACAAAGCAGGTGTACTAGTCTTTCTCCCAGGATCCCAGCGTGATTTCCCTATTTAATTGGAGAGCAGAGAGTTTAGAAAGGAGCAAGGACAGCAAAGGAGCTAATGAGGAGAAAAGGCCTCACGACGATGCATTCTGCACTGTGACGTGCAGCGCTTACACAGTTCAGTCTACAGCTTTTCAGATACTGACACACAAGCTTTATTTTACAGTGACTAAAGGGCACTGAATTAAACAAAAAGGAAAGAAAGAAAAAGGAAAGTTTTTTTAAAACTCAGTAAAATAGAAAAGCCTCTTTTACACTGCTTAAGCTCCAGAATTGGTCCAAAAATTTCTTATTGGCTTTGGAGTGTAAAACCAAAGCAAAAAAAAGTTTTTAAGTTTCCGTGTTTGAAGTCAAAGCCAAAACAAATTTATTTATGGTAAACACATATTCCTCATACACTGTCAAATCTAAGAATAACATGATATCCACAGATAAACATGTTAAGGAGCAAATAAAACACATTTTTTTCCCATGAGAGCTGCAGGCTTGAATAAGTGTGCTTTACAAAACTAATGAAATGGATAACATGAAAAAGAGCCTTTATAATTTAAGAACCCACACAATGACAGACAACTGAATAGGGAAAGAACAGTGCTGAGCCTTTCGAATTTGGACTCTGATCCTTTTTGCTACCCAAAGGCCCCTTTCTCCCCAGTGGAAATAAATCAGACCTGATTTCCTAAAACTTATTGTCCTAGCTCACCCAGCCATTTCTCCTCCTGCTTTGCCGTTCACCCCAATTTTTCACCCTGCTTTAGAATCACTTTTTTTAAAAAGCCACTCACTTGTAAACGCATTCAATCCAGGTTTATTAACCACCTGTATGTGAAGGCACAAGGTGTGGGGAGAAAAACCATGCCCAGTGGAGGGCACTTTGCTAATTCAGGTGTTGGAAAAGCGCTGGCTGTAGCTGCCATGAAGTACTGGGCTCCTAACTCAGAGAAAGGCGTGCCTCAGGGTTCCTCGGCTGAGGTCAAGTTGGAACCCAGTTTTGGAGGGGTCGGAGAGAAGTGAAGAGTGCAGCCCCGACGCGGAGAGTCACCGGCCTTGCTCCGGCCTCGCTCCGGCATCGCCGGCCTCTGCGCTGGGCGCCCACCAGGAAAGGGTTTCCTCCTCCTGGAGTGACAGAGCTCAGCTCACCCACGTGACCACCATTGCAGATGAAAATGAGAAAGAAGTGAAATTTCTCTTTGCAGCAACTCAGTAAAAATGTAGAAAGACTGAGGAAAGAAGGATGAAGTGAAGAAGGATATGTGAAGATTGAAAGGGGAAAAAAGAAATAACTGATCTCCAGAGAACGTGAGAAGCAGGTATTCAGGAAAGCCGGGAGGGGACATTTCCCCCTTCCGTGTGGGGGCCCACGTCACCTTCCACCTTGAAGACTGATTTCGATGCCCACTGCACCGGTGGGCTCATTTCTTCCTTTGTCCACAACACGCCGACCCATTACCGCCTCTTACACTTCCTGACTTGGAGGGCTTGTTCCCAGGTCTTTGCACACACGGTTCCTTCTAGAATTCTCTCGTCCCAGATATGCACACGGCCTATGCCCGCATCTCCTCCTCTCATCATCCTTTGTCAGGATGATGCCTCAGGACTCCCATCTTCTCCTGCCCCCAGCCTGTTTCAGAAGGCCTAAGATCACTTTCAAGTCTGGTTATGCACCAAAAAGCCTCAGTGACAGGTTACACCGCAGCAAAGGTTGAAGAATAAAACAGGAAAAATAGGGCTGGGGATTTAGCTCAGTGGTTCTGCCACCTGCCTTGCAGGTGCAAGGTCCCAAGTTCGATCCCTGGCACCAAAAACAAAAAAACCCAGGAAAAATATATTCTTAGAAGTCAGCGTGGGAGTCTGAGCTCTTTCCTCCCTGGGACTACAGACCATGCGTGTCCTCTAGCTGTGTGCAAAGTGTGTGTGCAAGGAAGGCCACGTGAGCTGCAGTCCAAGGCTGTCACAGAGGCCTGGCCACATGGACAGTCCTGTTACAGGAAGCATCAGGTGGCAGACCCACGGGGCCCCAGCAGAAATGCCTGATGCGTATCTTGAACTTGCTAAACAATCCCGCGAAGTCCTGACGAGCTGGAGCAGCCTGCCTCACTACTCCGGACATGTAAGTCATCATCACCAAACATGAACACGACAGCATTTCAGGCACATTCCCAGAAGCTGGCCAAGGACAACCACATCCCCATGCTGTGCGACACCAAAAGACGTGGAGCAACCAGACCTGCTCTGCACACGCTCTTCCCACACCGATCTACTTCACTCCATCATCTTTTCCACATGACCCTCTTCACCTATGAGGTGTGACGCAAACTTGAGTTGAATGTTTACATTTTTTAAAAATTCTTACCGAAAAAGACACAGAGCAATTAATCCCCTCAAAATACTCCCTCTTGTTTCTCCACCTTCTCATACCCTCTTGCCCTCTCTGAAGCAGTTCTGGAGTCCTGAGTCTTTGGTTGCTCTGTCATGGCTGCCTTGATGTTCTGAAGAGACTCCAAACACCTATTTTTCATGGTCATGATGACTCTGGGGAAGAGCTGGAAGTCATGAGGTGGACAGGCCCCATGACTAGGCGGATGAAGACACACTGCGCTGTTTTTCTGCCTTTCCACTGGATGGTGCGCAGCAGCCACGTTCACCAGGTTTTTTCAGTCACACCTGATAAAGAACCTCATGAAAGAGGACTTGCAGAACTGCTTCAGAAAATGGCAAGAATGATGAGGCAAGTGTGTTGGAAGTAAGGGGAACAAATTTGAGGGGGATTAATGCCCATGTGTCTTTTACTGTTAAGATTTTTTTTTTTTTTTGGTACCACAGATTGAACTCGGGTCCCTGCGCTTGCGCAGCAGGTGGCGAAACCACTGAGGTAAATCCCCGGCCCTACTGTTATGATTTTTTAAACATTTACTTTATTTTGGTACACCTCATATTTAATTTTATTATGTTCACTTTCTGTCACAACTAGAAGTCCATGAAATCATGGACTTTCCATTTCACTTGCTGCTATATCCTCAAATAGCGATACTTATTTTTGAATAAATAATTGAATTAATGAATGTATTCCTTACTCTGGTGCCACGAGGTCAGACCACAGGTTCAAAAACACCTGTAACTGCAAGGGAGATGCAAATATGTGAAATTAAGTAACTATGCTAAGTGGAGGGCGGGACAGGAGGAAGACGAGTAGGCCACTATTTCTGAGCACAGAACATTTGTAAGCTGTGTATTTTAAGCAAAGTACAAATTGTTTACTGCTTCCTTCAGTCACTTCTGTAGCAGAGATGTTAATTTCTTTTGATGTGAGAAAATACAAGATTGTTGCTTTTCCTCAGGAAATCAAACATAGATTAAGTTCCAAGAGCCGGGGAGGGAGGGGGTAGCTGCAGCTTGGTGACCCTAGAACTGATCATGATCAGAGGGACCTGCAGTAAAAAGAGGCCAAGGGATTCGAAGTTGCCAGCACAGACAGGACAAGGCTTCCCAGTAGGCGTGCTGCGGCTCCCAGCATAGAGGAAGCTTCTGGGTAGGCGTGCCATGGCTCCAATCCCAGAGGAGGTGAGCCACAAGGGCGCCAGGAACACACACACACCCTACCCCCCACCCCCATCCCCTATCCCCCAGCGTCAAAATGAGAAGACAGGTAAACAAGCCACAGAACCAGACTTTCAGATCACCTACAGCAACCCCAAAGGGAGACGAGATGAAACACTCTGATACTCAACCACCTGGACTCCCTGAACTGGGACTGAAAGACGATCTGGAAAAAATGAAATCAGAGATAATTTCTCACATAACAGCAAAGATTGTGCCCATAGTGCAGGACATGATTAATAAATCTAGAGAGGATACAGATGAAAAAATAGAGGAGCTGAGGAACATGATGGAATGCCAACATAGGAAACAAATGGAATCCATAAAACAGATGCAAACAGAATTCCAGGAGATTAAAAACTCCATTGAAAGTCTACGCAGCAGAATGAGCCAATGTGAAGACAGAATTTCAGATATAGAACATAAGCTTGCAATTAGAGACCAGGAAAATAAAAAATTCTTTAAAATTTTATGAGACCATGAGAAATCAATCCAGCAGCTGCTAGATGATGCAAAGAAGAATGACATAAGACTCACTGGAGTCAATGAAGAAAAAGGAGAGAGTGCAGATGACATAAAAAAAACTGTTTACAGAAGTGATGGCAGAAAACTTCCCAAGCAGGGGAAAAGAATTTGACATACAGATAACTAAGGCATATAGGACTCCAACTACCCTTAATGAAAAAAATCTACACATAGGCATATAATTGTTAATATTCCAGAAACCAAACAGAAGAATAAAATTCTACAAGTAGATAGAGAAAAAGAAAAATCACATACAAAGGAAAGCCCATCAGAATCACAGCAGACTTCTCAATGTAAACCCTCAAGGCAAGAAGAGCTTGGAGTGATGTGTTTCAAGCCCTAAAAGAAAACAGCCTCCAACCTAGATTGATGTACCTTGCAAAACTATCTTTCAAAATTGATGGTGAAATAAGATACTGTCATGAAAAAGAGCACATTAGGAACCTCATGAATACCAAACTAGCACTCCAAAAAAATTTTAGACAAAATCCTAGGAAAAGACAACGAGGATCACAACCCCAGGAAGCCCATCAGAATTAATCTGCTGGGCAGGACAAGAAATTTAAAGCAAAGGGGGATAATCAAACAAAAAGAAAAAGTCACGACAATGACAACTCAATACATATCAGTTATAACCATCAATGTTAATGGTCTCACCAATCAAAAGAAATAGACTGCCAGAATGGGTCAAGAAGCAAGATCCAACAATATGTTGCATACAAGAAACACACTTAATTCAAAAAGAAACTCATAGACTGAAAATTAAAGGGTGGAATGCGATGAGAACCCGAAAAAAAGCAGGAATAGCTATCCTCTTTGCAGACCAAGTGGATTTCAAACTCACACTGATTAAGAGAGACAAAGAAGAACACTATATCCTTGTAAAGGGAACAATCCAAGAGGAAGAAGAGATGACAATCATAAATATCTATGCACCAAACACTTGTGCACCCAACTATACAAAACAAATACTAATGGACATGAAAAACCACATAAGCACTAATACAACAGTAGTAGGGGACCTCAAAACCCCATTGTCACAAATAGATAGATCAACCAGACAAAAAACAAGCAAGGAAATACTAGAACTCAAACTATTGAAGATATGAACCTAACAGATGTTTACAGAGTGTTTCACCCCACAAAATCAGAATACACATTCTTTTCAGCTGCACACGAGTCATTCTCCAAATATGTGAGACCACATACTCACTCATAGAACATATTTAGGAAGTGCAAAGGAATTGAAGTTATCCCCTATATATTATCAGACCACAGTGCGATGAAATTGGAAATCAACAGCAAAAGAAACTGCAAAAACTCCATAAACACATGGAAATTGAACAACACACTTTTGAATAACCAATGCGTCACAGATGAAATTAAAGAACTCAGACAGTTCCTTCAATTAAATGACAATGACAGTACAACATATCGCAATCTATGGGACACAATGAAAGCGGTCTTATGAGGGAAATTCATAGCAGTGAATAATCATATCAGGAAAACAGAGAAAGCCCAATTAAACAACCTGATGCTGAGCCTCAAGCTTCTAGAAAAAGAGCAGGACAAACTCAAAGCTCATACAAGGGAGGAAATTATAAAGATCAGAGGAGAAATCAATGCAATGGAGACTAAGAATGACACAAAAAAACAATGAAGCCAAGAGTTGGTTCTTCGAAAGAATCAACAAAATTGACAAACCCTTAGCCAACCTTATCAGAAAAAGGAAAGAAAAG